GTTTTTTGTCTCCAGTCAAGATTATTTGGAGCTTGGAAGCAACGTGAAGGAATAAAAGGGGCTTTACCTGTTTTTTTGTGACTGTGTTTATTTTGTATCCCAGCCTGGGTCATCACATCCTGCTTGAGCAAGGGGTTGGACTAGAAGACCTCCAAGATCTCTTCCAATTTTGTTATTCTGTTATTATTCTGCTATTCTGATCATGGCAACCGGGATGTAGAGTCAAGCCTAAGCTATTTAAAGGCGGCCAAAGCTGGTCAAGCCCAGCAAGATCTGGCATTTCATTTGTGTGACTTTTATCTTCAAAGAAGCCCTAAACGGGTGTGCCTGGTTTGTTTGCTTCATTTTAATGCCTATCTGATTTAGAAAGGATGAAGCTATGCTAATTGGACATTGTTCTCCATTGAATTGCCTTAATTGTTTCATCTTAGTTAAGACTGAGCCAAAGGAGCCGATTATACATACTTAAAATTTTATAGTTGATTTGATCTTTGTTTTGTGTGTGTGTGTGTTTTTAGTAATTGCTACTTAAGGGCAATTAGGTGCAGCGGGTTTAAACCCAAGGAGTTTAATATTGAAGCAACGTCTTCACTCCAGCCTCTTCTATATGTGTTCGGACTATCGAACTCATCATTCCCAGACAAAGCAATTAATAATTGTACTAAGTTCCTCATCTTTGCTTCTGAATTCACACACACCCCTCAATACTTTGTAAGTACGCAAAACTCAGTTTGGAAAAAAAGATGGTTCACAAATTCCTTTGCATCATCAGGGGTGTGTGATGACCCAGGGTGGGATACAAAATAAACACAGTCACAAAAACTAGGTGAAGCCCCTTTTATTCCTTCACTTTGCTTCCAAGCTCCAAATATCCTTGACTGGAGACAAAAAACTCCCCCACAAACAGTTACAAGAAGGAGGAAATGCCATTTAAATTTAAAATGCCTATAAATTATAAAGAGTAAAAAACAACACAAACCAGGCAAGATAAGGGCTTGAAGACGTCCACAGATATCAGAAAAAACACTGGGAAGGACGCCAAATTCAGAGAGGAACCATAAACTAGAGATATTTCCACGCTTTGTTTCCAGCACTCACCCGTACGCATGTCCATCCTCTTATGCAGATCTCACACCTGCCACCCATGAAGAGGATCAAGGCCCTCTCCTCCTGAGTAGACACGTCTCTCCGTTATCCTCTCCTCCCTGCGTGTCCTAGGATGGATAGGGGGTGGGCCTGGGTCCTCCTCTGACTGCTCAGCCAGCCTCTGCCCTTCCCCAGCCTCCTCCACAACCTCCGGAGCCACAATTCCACTCCCTGTCGGCTGTTCCTCCTCTCCCTCAGAGTCAGTCTCCATCAGGGGCATGACGGGGTGGCTGATCCCTGTTCATCCCAGTTCAGGCAAACCAGTTCTCCCCGGTTCAGGGGAACTGGTACTGAACTGGTAGCTAATTTTATGACCGGTTCGGTGAACTGGCCAATCCCACTCCTGGCTGGTCCCGCCACCCCACCCTGTCCCTCCTGGGGGTCCCCACATGGCCAGTTTTGGATCCCAGGTAAGTACACGGCCTTGTTGGAGGGCCTCCAGAGCCCAGGAGTCTCAAGAAAACCCTCTGGAGCCCAGGGAGGGCAAAAACACACCTCCACCATGGTGCAGGAGGCCAACTAGGCCACGCCTACCATGGCCACACCCACACAGCAACCAGGCAGAGAACTGGTTGCTAAAATTTTTGAAGCCCACCCCTGCGCACCATCCAGGACCCATCGCCTTATTTTTCTTCAGAAGAAATATTATACTGTAAATAAAAATCTAAGACTCAGGAGAAACCAGACACCCATGGCCTTCCCACATGAAGGGCTGCAAACGGTCTTAGTATAAGACTGGTACAAGCAAGAATAAAACATGGCCATTTTTTACGATTTCATTATGCTTGGAACGCTCTTCCAGAACACCTAAGACCGTGACGGCGAACCTATGGCACATGTGCCACAGGTAGCACGCAGAGCCATTTGTGTGGGCACGCGAGCCCCAGCCAAACTTACCTGCACTGCGCATGCGCGCACCTCCCCGCTGATTTTTGGCCCATTTGAGGCCCTTTTCACCCTCCCGGAGCATCAGGAAGCTGGAAAATGGGCTTACTGGAAATACCGGAAGTGCCAAAACGGCCCCGTTTTCAGCCTCCCACGGCTCCATAAGCTTCCCTTGAGCCTCCGGTAGGTGAAAACAGCCTCCCCCGGGCTCCAGAGGACACCTTGGGAAGCCGAAAAAAACAGGCTTTCTGGAAATACCGGAAGTGCTGAAACGGGCCCATTTTTCGGCCTCCCAAGGCTGCAGAGGCTTCCTTCGAGCCTCCGGGAGGGTGAAAATGGCCTCAAACGGGCCAAAAATCAGCTTGCACAGTGCAGGTAAGGGGAAAGGGATGTTGCGCAGGCATGCGCAGGGAGGGATGGGGTGCATTGCATTATGGGTGCTGGCACGCGCATGCTTTTTGGCACACCACAACAAAAAGGTTTGCCATTACTGACTTAAGAGATGCTTTCAAAATGCTTTTTTTAAAAAAATCTTATGTTTCCAATACAGATAGTCCTCAATTCACGGCCACCATCGGGTGCAGAATTTCCATTGCTAAATGAGCCATGCCTGATTTTACGATCTTTTTTTTTTTGGCATGGTTGTTAAGCCCCAAAGATGCTTTTTTTTTTCCCAAAGGACTTTCTTTTTCCTTGAAGGCATGTCGCCTCTTATCCAAGAAGCGTCTTCAGTTCAGACTTTCCTTTAATCAGAACTGAAGAAGCTTCTTGAAGGAGAAGCGAAACCTCTTCAAGGAGAAGCAAAGGAAGTCCGGTTGCCTTTGGAAAACCATGACCTGGATCACTGAGAATCTCCATAGACATGATTGTTAAGTGAAGCAGTGCACTCATTAAGCGAATCCAGCTTCCCCGTTAATTATACTTGCCAGAAATTGTCTGAGAAGGTCACAAATAGGGATCACATGACCCCATGACCAGTGGTGGATTCAAATTTTTTTACTACTGGTTCTGTGAGCATGTCTTGGTGGGCGTGGTTTGGCCTGGTGGGCGTGGCAGGGGAAGGTTACTGCAAAATCTCCATTCCCTCCCCACCTCACTAACCTGCTTTCCAGCTCTGTTCTCCTGTGCAGGGCAACCAAAGAAGACCCAGCCAATCAGCTGGGACTCGGGAGGTAGAGCATAGATGGGGGTGAGGCCAGTCAGAGGTAGTATTGCCCAGTTCTCCGAACTACTCAAAATTTCCACTACTGGTTCTCTAAACTACTCAACATTTCTGCTACCAGTTCTCCTGAACCGGTCAGAAGCTGCTGAATACCACCTCTTCATGGGAAGCTGCAACCATCGTAAATACAATCTGGTTGCCAAAATGTTAGTTTTGATCGCACCAATCACAGGGCTGCTGTGACAGATATAAGTGTGAGGACCAGTTGTAAGTCCGTTTTTTTCAGCGTTGGTGTGACTCAAACGGTCGATAAATGAATGTGTAAGTTGAGGTGTTCCTCTCCAAGCACTGCTGAATTTTCTGCAGGATCTGCTGTCCTTCATGCAACGTTTTGTAATTGCCCAAAATCATCAGCAAGCCAAATTTTGTCTTCTTCTTCTTGCATCATCCTGTCACCAAATTGCTGCAAACACAGGGCAGGATATTGGGTGGTTTGGCAAAAAGCGTGTATTAAAATCACGGGCCTTTCTGCTCATAGTAAGCCTTCGTGCAACTTGGACCAAGTTGGCGTGACTCAATTTTTTTCTGCCTTCCTCTGTGAAGTTGCATCCGGGCCGCACAAACACAGCACAGGGAACTGTGGTGCTTTTCCAACAACCCAAGTGCACCTGTGGTTTGAAAAAAAAAACAAAAAACAGAAAGGCGAAGGTAACCGAGAGATTAGAAGCACCATAATTGTACTTAATAGTGTTCAAAAAATTAAAACATCCGCAAGAATCTAATGACTCTTAAATGTTTCCCCACTTTCTTCATCTACAATACTTCTGCGCAATTATAGTTTTTATGTGTTAGAAGGCTTCTATGGCACAGGGGAGCTTTGGGGTGTCCAGCACTCTTGGGGTGCAAGCTAAGAGTTCCTTTGATTTAATTGCCCCTAAATAAGGCGGTAACATGGCTACATTTCCTTTGGTGCATCCCTAAACCAGATGGGTGGAAAACCTAATTACTCCAATTTGGGCAGATGTAGACTTCCTCCACTATTCAGGGGTGGGATTCAAATTTTTTAACAACCAATTCTGTGGGCATGGCTTAGTTGGTGGGCATGGCTTGGTGGTCATGTGACTGGCTGGGCATGGCCAACTCAACATCACTCACATCGAGGCACGCGTCTTGTCGCCTGGCCTCTCATGGCTGTGGGGATGCTGCAACAGTCGTAAGTGTGAAAAATGGTCATAAGTCACTTGTTTCAGTGCCATTGTAACTTTGAATGGTCACTCCACGCAAGCAAAGTACCAGCAAAGGAGGGGAAAAATCTCCAGAGAAGTTCCTGAGACAGGAAGTCTAATCCTGCCAAGAATGTAATAAGGGTTAACTGAGAGGCAGTTTCTGTAAGCAACACCAGAATGTTTCCTTCCTGCCTTCCTTACAGGATTAGTCCAGTAATTTCTTTTAACAACCGGTTCTCCCAACTGCTTAGAATGTTAACAACCGATTCTAGCGAATAGGTGCGAACTGGTAGAATCCCACCCCTGCCACTATTATACACTCTTCAACAAAAGCCCTAGAACAGTGGTGGCTAACTTTTTTGGGCTCCCGTGCCGAAAATTGCATGTGCGCTTATGCTTGCGTGCTCACATGCCAGCACCCAGAAGGCAATGTGCACAGGGCCCCCCACATCCCCTGTGTATGCACGTGCAATTCCCCCCACTCCATGCATCTCTGTGCATGCGAGACCCCCTGCGTGTCTCTGCGCATGTGCATGCATCTCCCCCACACTCCCCGCACCCCGTGCATGCGCGCCAGATACCTGACAATCAGCTGTTGGGCAGACGGCACGTGGGCATGTGCAGTGGGTCTCTTCCAGGCGACCTCTCGTGTGCTAGCAGAAGTGGCTATGCGTGCCACTTCCGGAACGTGTGCCATAGGTTCGCCATCATGGCCCTAGAATGTGACTACATGCATACATTTGTACTTTACTAATTTTATTTGATTCTTTTTGTTAGTTCTTATTGTTTTTGTTTTTATTTTTTGTTTTAAATATGATTTTACATTGAGCAAGCCGCCTTGAGTCGCCATGGGCGAATTGGCAGCAATATCAATCAAATAAATAAATAAATAAATACATACATACATACAAATACAGAAGCAAACTTCTAAAATGGCACTCTAGAATGAAACACGGAAAAATGTGCAAACAGCCCTTGACGTACGAGCAGAATTGAGCCCAACATTTCTGTTGCTAAATGAGACATAAACTCAGGGATGGGATTCAAATTTTTTAACAAACAGTTCTGTGGGCGTGTGGCATGGTGGGCGTGGCTTGGTGGGTGTGGTTTGCTTGGTGGTCATGTGACCGGGTGGGCCTGGCTATGTGGTCATGTGATTGGGTGGGTCAAAAGGCAGGAACTCACTGTACTCGCGCACGTGTACAGCATTTGGAAGAACACATCAGCTGTGCCGCCCGGACAGCTGACAAGCACTGCACTCCTCTTCTTTCCTGCTTTTTCAACCTCAGCTGTGCTGCGCAAAGCAACTGAGGTTGAAAAAACAGGAAATAAAGGACAGTCAAGAGCCCAGGTGGGCGGGTGGGCCAAACAAAGGACCAAAAGGTGGTTGTCCAGATCCCATTAACTGGGGTTCACCCAAGACCGTGTGGCAAAAGCAAGCAGACAGATTGTTTCGTACCATGTGTAGATTATCCCAGTATTTCTGCTGTTGTTCTCGTTAATCATGAAGCAATCTGGAATTAAGGAGAAACTCCCTAACAGGGAGGACAATGAACTTGTGGAACGGCTTGCCACCAGAAGTTGTGGGTTCTCTATCACTGGAGGCTTTAAGAAGAAATCGGACAGTCACTTGTCCGAACTGGTAGAGGGTCTCCTGCTTGATCAGGGGGCTGGACTAGAAGACCTCCGAGGTCCCTTCCGGCTCTATTCTGATTGATTTGTTTTCCATATCCAAGTTCTCTGATTCAGTCCCAGTGTCTGCTCAGTCAATCTGAAAAGTTAAAAAGAAAAACCCAAACTCGAAAGGAACGGATTCAGCTGCAGTTTCAGAATCAGTAAAATCAAACACAGGTATGCATGTGGTCCTTGAATTATGGCCACAACTGAGCCCAACATTCCTGTTGCTAAGTGAGACAGATGTTAACAATGAATTTTGCCTCATTTTACGACCTTTCTTGCCCCTGCTGTTAAGTGGATCACGGCCATTGTTAAGTTACTAATACGGTTCTTAAGTGAATCTGGCTTCCTCGTTGATTTTGGCTGATCGGAAGGTGACTAAGGCGATCGCATGACTTCAGGACACTGCAGCCAGCCTATGTACATGCCAGTTGCCAAGCGTCTGAATTTTGATCTCATGATCGCTGAGATGCTGCAAAGGTGGTATGGAAAACTGTGACCACTGGCTTTTTTCAGTCCTGTTATAACTTTAAACGGACACTAAACAAAGCGTTGTAAGTCGAGGGCCACCTGTAGTATATAAATACCATCAAATAGATGAAATAAGTGACTTAATTCACGTGGAGAAGAAGGAAAGGTGTGTTTAATTTCCTTTCTCTTAGCCTCCACCGCTGTCCTTGGTCAGGCTTGATTTTCCGCTTCGCGGCTAATAATTATTTTGATTGGCGAAGGTCCCACGTTTTATGATGCTCCCAGGCTTAGTCACGGCATTCCTCTGTCGTTCCCAAAAATCAAAGAAAGGAAGGAGGGGGGGGGTTGCAGAGAAGCCATGGGAGGGATCAAAAGAACGAGATAATTGAGGACTTCCACAGATGAGCCTTGAAGTCCACAAGTGAGGAAGGCACAGGCTGAGCTTTGCTGATGTGCAGCGAGGTTGCATTGATCCAGCCCACATGTCCACGAAGGGAGAAGAGCATGATCCAGTGGAAGCAAACAGAAAGGTAGGCACCCTGGCAGCCTTTGAGCAGTGGTGGTGCAGTCGGTGGTGAAATATTACCGGTTCGGTCCGGTTCCCCCGATCCGGTAGCCAAAAATGCTACTGGTTCAGCCAAATGGGTGGTACGCCTTTCTCTTCTTTATCCTCTCAGTTGATTGGCGTGGCAGAGCCTCAGCTGATGTTTGAAAAGCTGCGCACGCGTGTTAGGTGTGCACGTACAAAGTGCGCTGTCACCAAACCAGTAGGGAAACTGGTAGAATCCCACCACTGGCCACAGTGGTTAGAAGAGGGCCGCCAGCATTGCGTTTCAGCCTTCCGGAGACCTACGGACGACTTGGCAGGAGGAGGCGAGGGTGCCCTTCACCCATCTCTTTTGTGGGTCTTCCACAATGCCAGACCCTTCCTCAGCTCCCCACATGCCCAGACCCCTTGGGGATCCCATGTGAAATCAAAACAAGATGGTTGGGGGAAGCTTCCTTGTTTTCAGCTGCAGGTATTTCACCTGTCGCCCTCACACATTTCTGATTTCCCCCGGGGAGGGAACCTGGTTTGGCCATTCAGTCCACGGCAAAAAAAAAAAAATAATGGGATTGCTAACTTCGTGGAAAGAGGGAGACCAAGTTATTCCTGGAATTTTGCCTCTTTGTGGCCCCAGCAGTATTTTTTTTGTGGCACTGAGAGCATCCCTTTCATTGCTTTTTCTATTTATGGACTAAGCTATAGGAATTAGCCTTCCAAAAGGAAGTTGGCAAGTCTACAGGGAAAAGGATTCTCCACCAGCATGTATGTAAGATGGATGGACTTCAACTCCCAGAATTCCCTAGTCCGCTGGCTTTGAGCTTTAAGATGGGTGGACTTCGACTCCCAGAATTCCCCAGCTACCATGCTACTGAATTTAAGATGGGTGGATTTTAACTCCCAGAATTTCTCAGTCAGCATTTAATGAACTCAAGACAGGTGGACTTCAACTCCCAGAATTCCAAGGTTGACTCAGCCTTCCATCCTTCCGAGGTCAGTAAAATGAGGACCCAGATTGTTGTGGGGGGCAAGAGGCTGACTCTATAAACCGCTTGGAGAGGGCTGAAAAAGCACTGTAGAGCGGTATGTAAGTCTAAGGGCTATTGCTATTTTGGGAGAACAATGGTTTATCCCAAATTTCCAAATCTACTCCCAAAGTTTGCAAAAGATCTTAGCAAAGTCAGAAGGGACCTCGGAGGTCATCTACTCCGGCCCCCTGCTCAACATGCTTGAAAATTTAACTTGGGAATTGAAAATTTAACTGGGATTGTCCCCCACCAGTAACTTGCATAGTTTTGTGAAGCTGGACTTCTAAAGGGAAAGGTACAGGTAGCCCTCAACCTTTCAATCTTCATTTAACAACCATTTGAAGTTACAATGGCACTGAATAAAAGGTCCTTTGGTCAGTTCTTGCACTTATGACCATCGTTGTAGCGTGCCCCCTGTCACCGCCGAGCACACCATGGATAGCCATGAAAATCAACTGATGATTTAACGAATCAAGCAGTGATCTCATTCCAGGCACAAATGTCCAGGTTGTAATTATCATAATTTTGGACACCTTGCCGAAAGACCTACTAGCTCTCTTAAGAAGTCCTGAGAAGGAGAAGAGGAGGAAGGAGAAGACGAGGGCCACCAGAAGTGAGGGGGACGGTCTTGAGTACAACTGTGACAGGTACAACCTTAGCTCACCTAAAGCAGGGGTCTCCAACCTTGGAAACTTTAAGACTTGTGGACTTCAACTCCCAGAACTCCTCAGAATTCTGGGAGTTGAAGTCCACAAGTCTTAAAGCTGCCAAGGTTGGAGACCCCTGACCTAAACGACCAGGTTGCACACAGATGATCCGTGACAAAATCCAACTAGGAGCTTACTAAGTGTTGATTACACTGATTTGATGAGTCAAAACTCTTAACTAGTTCTCTGACATCACTTTAACCCTTTCTTTGAAAGGAAAGACATCAGCCTGGCAAACAAACATTGGGTAGTAGTCCTCTCTATAGTCCTTGACTTATAGCAGTTCACTTAATGACCATTCATAGTTACAACGGCACTGGAAAAAGCAACTTATGATGGCGTTTCATACTTACGACCGTTGCGTCATCCCCGTGGACACGGAATCAAAAGTCAGACACTTCGGAACTGACGCATATTTAGGATGGTTTTGATGTGGTTTTGATTTTGCGACCTTCTGACAAGCAAACCAGATTTACTTAACAACCATGTTACTAATTGAACCAATGCAATGATTCATTTAAGAACGGGGGCAAGAAAGGTCGTAAAATGGAGCAAAATTCACCTAACCAAGGTTTCACTTAGCGATAAGAAATGTTGGGCTCAACTGGGTTTGTAAGTCGAGGACTCCCTGTATTGTGTTCCCCCGTAGCCAGGGGTGGTGGGATTCAAAAACCTCAACAACCGGTTCCCTGCCCAGTTGCTGGGTGGGCGTGGCCATGGTGGGTGTGGCCTACCGGAACTTCTGGGAAGGCAGTTTTCCACCTTTCCCACAGTCCGGAGGCTTCCCTCGGGCTTCTAGGAGGGCGAAAATGCCTCCCCCGGGGTCCAGAGGCCCCCCAGAAGCCAGAGTCTGTTTCCATTTTTTGCCCTCCCAGAGCCTCCGCACGAACCCTGTACTTACCTGCATCCAAAACTGGCCACCTGGAGACTCCTGGGAGGGGAGGAGAGGGGTGGGTGGAGCCAGCCGGTCAGTTCAACTCCCGGTTCTGTGAACCAGATGTAAATTTAACAACCGGTTCGCCTGGACCAGTGTGAACGGGCTGAATTCCATCCCTGCCAGTCGCTACCTATGATCGTGAAATTTGGACCTTAAATAAGCAAGACGGGAAGAAATTCAACCCCTTTGAGCTGGTGTGCTGGAGAAGTCTCCGGCGTATTACTTGGAGAGTAAAGATAACCTACAAGGAAGTATTGGAGCGAGCAACACCTGACATATCACGGGAAGGCCACAATCGCAAAACTGCATTTCACTTATTTTGGCTGTGTCCTC